TGGATGCAGCCGCTCTTGTTACTTTCCTGCGCCTCGCGTCCTCTCCCGGCGCGGACGTCTGGAGGTCTCTGGCTTTGCGGAGAGGGTCGTTTAGTTTATGAATGGTCCCAGGGCCCTGCTGAAGGGAGGCGTGGCTCGGGAATCCTACAATCGCCGCCAGAGCTGTCAGAGGGCCAGCCAATCGCTGGGCCGAGCCGCCTACACGGTCGATGCGGGGCCCGCCACGATTGCAGATGCTGGGGAAGGAGGGAGAGAAAGAGAGAGACTGGAGAGATGCTTAAGGCACACGCATTGATTTTATGCACGTCTATGGGAACGACCACGAACCTCACCCCTCCCTACCCCATTTCCCCAGTTAGTTGAAGGCCAGGAAAGAAAGCACCTCGGTCCTTCGACACTGTTGTTGGGGAGGGGGGGGCAGGGAGAAATTAGGAAAAGTTGCTACCGAAGACGTTGTTGTGAGTAGTATTGCAAGATCTCCACCCGTCTTCCTGGGATGTTCAAGGTGCAACTCGGCGGCTTGCGGCCCTGGTTTAGGGTGAAAGGTTTCTGTCCTACAGTGGATAGCAAGTACTGAATAGCGCAGGGAAGTAAAAGATAGAAGAGAAGAGGTGTATTAGGAGGGGAAGCAAAGGCATCGCTCTCACAGGTACAGACACAAACAGATGTATTGTACTTTTACAGTAGGACCTTTACGGTTCCTCTCTAAATGTATTGCTGCTCAGCAGCCCCAGCATTTGTGAAATGAAACAATTATAGAAACACATTAGAACACTTGAGTATCTAACCTGAAATAGAGTTTGCCTTAAAATTAAAGATACCTGCAATCCGCCTAGTGTGCTGTTGCAAAATGAATCATAAATAGGTACACAGGTATGGTTTAATATGGTTATGAAAAAGAGGTTTTGTGTTTGGAGACTGGCACATTATATTGTTTGGAGTTACAAGTGGAAGTCCTGCTAGATGCCAACCGGTGATTTCAGAAGCAAATGTTTAAAAATTACCACATTTCAGAATCTCGAGATTTATTCGTTTTTTCCTGCCAAAGGGCTAACAGAAATATTTGTTCTCAGGTGCGGGTGTAAGTGGGTCAGCTGGGACTTCCAATCAAAAAGATCTATGCTTAATCGTAAATGAATTATAAGCTGTTTTAGGGAGAGTTAAGTGAAAGCATTAGCTCTTTTTTGAGAAAAAAATCCATTCACCATTACCACCACCACCACCCCAGCTCCCCACATTCTGGTAGATACTTACGGAATTCTTTAATATTTAATATTATTATCCCAAATAATATTAATTGGGATATGTGTTAACAAAATATATCTGATGTTCTAGTTGGACACTAAATAGGTGACATGTGGGATATATGTGCGCACAATTGTATTTCAATTGAAAACAACGGGATTTTCGGATCTCAGCATACAGCAACAACAATAATCTCCAGGCGTGTTGCTGCGAGCCTTTGTTCTGTCCGAGGTCCTTGGAAATAAACGATCCTCTGTTCCCAGGATTTTGGAATTGCTATAACCAGAAGGAGAAGTGAGGCCAAGTCTTCCCTCTCCTGTTATCTTCTCCGTTCATCCATCCCATACCGTCGGAACTGAACAGGACCCAAGGGCTGGGTGGAGGCCAGGGGCCTCTTCTGTGCTCCAGGAGACCAGGTCTTATTTGGAAAGCGCCCCACTGGCAAGGCAGGGCACCAGTTGCTTCCAACCCCTCCCCACCCCCATCTCTTCATTCAGTCCACTGCTCTGGTTCCCAGCCGATTGCCTCTCAAGATCTCTTTGGGGCATGAAGGGCGGACTTCTGCCCTTCTGGGGATGGCTAGGGGCAGTCCGGCGGAGAACTGTCTAGCCCAAACCGAAAACTGGGGTTGGACTGGGACAAAAGGGCTTGCGGGAGACCTGCCGTCGGTGACTGTTGCAGGGCAGCATCTGTCGGTTTGCCTTGTCGAACTGCAGTCCTCTCATCTGCCAAGCAGCCGGGCCTGGTGGCTTTAGCAGAGCAGGATTTGCTTCCGAGTGGAGCCCTGGCCACTCCTCTGCTTTTCCCTCGAATTTTTACCGTATGTTCTTCCAAAGGAAAAAAAAAATCTTCACCGATCTAGGGAGCTAAACTGCAAGGTGTCGTGTAGGGTCTTATTTGGTGAGAAGTAGAAATCCGCAGAACTGGAAGGGGGCTGGGGACAAGGCTCCGACGTCTTCTCTGCGGGTCTTGTGGCGCAGGCTGGAAAGCGTCTTTAGCACCCACACCTACCCGGAGAGCGCGATGAAGCACCCGGACCAATCGGGAGCCTTCCTTAAGGGCTCTGCGCCCTTGCCTCGGCGCCCGAGAGAGCTCCAGCCCATCTGTAGCCGTGTGTCCGTTGGGAGTTCCCTGGAGGGCCGGTCTGCCCGAAACCACCGGGGCTCCTGCCAAGGGGAAGGGTTCGCTCAGCGCTAGCCGCCTTTCTTCTCGCGGGCCTCGAGTGGATCCTTGCTGTTCTCCCGGTTTGAGGCTTCCCCCATTTCTCTCTCCCCGCCGCCCCGTCTGAGGTCGATGCTCTTGTAAATAATAAATCAGTTTGAAAACAAAAGCCGCTTCGGATTTATGGTCCGGAGCGCTAATTAGAAACATCATTTGAGCAATAAACTTAAACACTTTCGAGCAAATAATGCCTGCGGAAAAGAGGGGGAGCGAGCCAGGAAGCTGGTACTCGCCTACTGCGGCTGTAGCCTGGCGGCTTGAAGAGCCCGGGTCCTCGCCGGTGGCGGAATTTCTTTCGGAGGACGGGGAGAGAGGGGATGGAGGTTGCAAGTGGAGACGGGGGGGGGGGCGTTGTCGAAGAAGCGGAAGACCCCAACGAAGGGCTGCCGAAGAGCTGGCCCGTTCGCCCTCGCCGCCTGGGAATCGACGCGTCCGTCAGCAGCTCCTTGTTGGGATCTTAAGTCGCTTGGCCGCCCTCGAGGAGCTGAAGCTGCTGCTGGATTGGAGGCGACGGAGGCGGCGTGCCGGCTGGGGTGCGGGTGTGCGCGCCGTGCCTGGGCGGGGAGGCTCTCCAGGTTAAAAGCCACTTGAAGGCTTCAGCCGATTGATCTGCATTTTCCCCCCGTTATAATCCGTCTCATCAGACTTGAGTTAATGAGGCGGGGGAAGGCGCGATCCGAGAGCCCTGACGAATTCATTAGGGAGGCTGCGGGCCATTTTATTTGACGGAGAAAGTGCGGGCTGGGTTGGTTTAGCACCCGGGCCAGCTCTCCAGCCGGGCGGGCTTTTCCGAGGCGAAGCCGGACGGGAATGCCTTTGCCCTCTCCTTGCCTCTCCTCGCTTTTCCCAGAGACCCTCCCCCGCTCCTTAAAGGCAGGCTAGGTAGGTCTCGTCCTTGGCGTTGAACTGACCGGAAGGAACCGCTGGAGAGCCTCGAGGGCGGGCAGAGAGAAGGGCCGAGGAGCCGGGAGGGGCGCTTTCTCTGCCTGTGCGGAGAAGCGTCGTGCACATGGCTTATTATTGCACAGGAAATAGGAGGGAGGGGGTCTTTTTGTTGCCCCACTGGAGTAAGACTAGCAGAAATGCATGTATTGCCCTCCATTCAGCTCCACTTGGACTTGGATTTTAACGTGCTTGCTTCTCCGTGTGCATGTACCAAGCCAGATCTCCTTTTCTGGAGGCTGCTTCTAAGCAACTTTTGCCTTAAGAAAAAAGGAAGGGAACCAGCCCACTTTGGATCATGGACAATTCATGTTTTCCCTTGGAAGAGATGGCTGAATATCCTCTTCAGTCAGGAATTATGTGATATACTTTTTGGGGGATTGAGCTGTGCAGGTATAAAAATATTCAGTGCCCTCTAGCTAAGAAGTATCTTTGGCTTATGGAAAATTAAAATGAAACAGAGCATGTATCTTCCAGACAGTTAGCTTAATTGTTACTCTCTCTTCAGTTTTCTGGGAGATCTTTTAATCTTCTTGCTTCAACGTTCTCTGTGCTTCCATTTATAGAAGAACAGCCTGGGAAAAGAATGAGTGGCTTTTGCCTGTCATTTTCATACATTCCTACTCTGCTGATGGAGCTTGAACGGCTGCAGGGAGAGTATGAATTGGAAAAGAAATTATTCTG